TTGGCTGGCTGCGGCTCGCCCCTTTTTGGTGTGGAATTAGATGGTGGCGGTACAGACTTGGGAGTGAGCCTCTGGAGCTGGATTCGGAGCCTCGGCGGCGGCGCCTGGGACACCGCAGAATAACGGTGGGGTCAACTTGCTCTCGGCCAGTTGCTCAGCAAGACCTGCCTGTGAGGCACCTACCAGGCGTTTGAGGCTCTCGCTCGTCTTGGCCCCAAACTCTCTGCGGCAGGCCTTCACTAGCACCCTGTCAGGACAATATTTTAGTTGTTTTTTGGTGTGGCATTAGATGGTGGAAAGCTGTGGCGCGGCAGACTGCTGGGACCCTTGGGAGGGAGTCTTTGGGGTCAGATTTGCTCCAAGCATTCTTGCTCGTGCTCGGCCCCAAATCCTCTGCGGCTGGACTGCAGGTCCTTCCTAAAAAAGGGGTCGGCGAAACCAGGGCGAAGCCCTTGCAATTAATTATGAATTCCCTGACAGAACATCCCTGCGCAGTTTCGCGGCCTGCGGGCTTGTTGTTGGACAAAATGCCATCGGAGAACTCCATCCAACGTGTACGAGCGCCGTGGGTGTGGGTGTAAGTCATGCAGCCTCAGACAGCGCGGTCGTCCACCAACCCGCGGGGGCACCCCCGATGAGATGGGAAACAACCGAAGATGGGTATGTCGACGCAGTGGATCGTGGTACTTACATAATGTCCCATTATGTCTCATTGTTTCCCTATCGATCCACGAGACTGAGTTCATTTGATATCTATTGACAACATTGATTCCTTGGATGGACCAAGTACCTTCTAAGAAAATATGTGGATGAACTGAATCCGTGAACGTACACGTAAAAACCGGACGTCTCCGGTCGCTTCACTCGCCCCCCCCGCGCACCGGGAAGCAAACCAAGTCGTTCGTGGAAACGGGAGATGTCTAGGATCAAATACCCAAGTGCCCAAGTCGGTCTCCAACCTATTAGCGATGGCCTTAGTAGCGATGGCCTCCACCCTAGTAGCGATGGTCACTTCTGTTCATTTAAAAATACATGTTCTGTTTGAAGGTCGGTTATATTACATCATTCCAGTCCTCCAAAACTCACGACGCTACTGTAGTTACGCCGTTGCAACAAACCAAAACATGAAGAAACAACGAGCCCGTTGCAACGTGGTTCGGAGATCCACTTGCTTTCCCACAAGCCCTGCTGATCCACTGCTGGATCCGCGTCCGAAGTCACAAGAAGAAATCTGGGGGATGAATGTGTAGACAAAACCCAGACACTCCATGTATGCCATATATGCTTGCCTACATTGACCCCCAAAACCACCCCAATGTAGGCAAGCATATATGGCATACATGGAGTGTCTGGGAAATGGTCACATGTCAGTTCGCCTATGGGCTGACCAACTCATAGACAAACCACCGAACCCTGGGCTGACCTGTTCGAGGAGAACATCTTCGTAAATGACAAACAATTCCGAGTCGAACCATGTCATGAGTTTACTGATGTCGAGCCAGGTCTCCTCAGAAAAAAAAGCACTCGATGTTGTTGTCACATGGCACTGAAAAGAACAAGAAAACACATGGCAAGATGCAATGAGGACAATTGAGAACCTTAGCCCCCCAACAGGTCGGGTTGTAAAACATGGTAAAACATGGTAAAACCACACATGGAGGGTACATCCTCCACCAAACCCTCCCCTGTTGGAATCATCACTTCTCCTTCAAGCTGCCGTGGACCTCGCCGGCCGCCAGACCGGCGCCGATGGCGCCATTGTCCCAGCAGTCCCCCCAGCGCATCTCCTCGGTCGAGGAAGCGTCCGGACGAGCCTTTCGGTGCGTCCGTAGGAATGGACGAGGTGCCGTGCCAGCGATGCCAGCGGTGCGTGAAGTGCAAAAGAAATTGGGCGAGGTCCCGTGATGTTTCACCGCTTTCGAACTTGGTGCAAATGCGAAATTCCCTACCCCCGCTGGGTTTAGGGTTTAGGGCGAAACATATCCAGTTCTGTAGTCGGATCGGTTGTGTGGCGAAGTACGGACCATTCCTCTAGCTCCAAAAGTGAAGCTGGGAGGGGAACAAACATCCAATTCATGTCAAAGGCAAAGCTTGAGCTGTGAAAGAACAATGACTTTGACAGGGTGAACCAAACCTGACTTGTTGGCATCAACTCAACTGAAGATCTGCATGGTGCGTGAAGCTTTCTCCATTTATAAATCTGCATATCAGCGGAACAGAATTTGCCGAAAGCTCCCCACAGCTGATGTAATTGATGTGGCCAAGTTTGACAGCGATGATCCATGAGTCACATGCACATGATCAGCTGCCTGTAACGATGGACTTCGGACCTATGAAGACCAATCTCCGGACCAGGGAGGAGTGTTCCAGAGTGTATGATTTCGTTTCAATGACCCAGTCATGCCATTGTCCGCCCAGTCGCTGCAGTGATGATGTCAATGTCACAAACCTCCTTCAAACCGTGTGCGATGTCGTGACCGATCCCTGCGACGTCGAAGTCACTCTCGGGTGGAACGCCCAAATAGGCCTCAGTGAATCGCTCTCGGAATCGTCCCTGAATCGACTCGTCGGAATCGTCGAAAGGTGCTCTCGGTGCGTCGAACGGTCGAAGCACCGCAGCTTGGACCGCGATGTGCTTTCGTCTTTTGGGGGAACAAGAAGCGATGCACGGGCCTATGAGACTACTAGTACTAGTAGCTTCTTGTTACTACTAGTAAGGCACCTGTTACTAGTAGCGATGCACTTGTTACTAGTAGCGTTCTTGTTAGAGCTGTCCGAAGTCCGGACGATGTACATACTATGTGATCACCACTTGGGAAGGCAGCTTGGTATACATCTGGTGAGAAGGGTCAACCCATCGGGTTTTCTGGCGCTCTTTGAGCCCTCCGAGGTCTCGGACTTTGCGGTTGAAAGGACGTCGTTTCTTTTCTTTGAGGGGGGTGGAACCTCAACTTTCACCCCATGGATAACAGTTGCAAAAAAAAGGGATCTGCCCTGATGAAAAACACCAGTGAATGTGACCCTTGTGAGGAAATGACTGGGACATGGCTGGAACTGCCGCTTCTGCCTGGTTCGCCCTGCAGTCAGGCTTTTCTTGCCCAACTCGAGAGGTCTGTGATCTACAAAGAGTCCAACCTCCAACAATTCTTTGCCAAGATACATAAGGTGGCCAGTCGATGTCCTGAAGTATAGCTGGATCATGCTGGATCTTTTGCATGCCACAAGATACATGACATGCTTGGCCGAGTGTGCATATTCGTCCAAAGCACCGTCCTACCCCGTCCTGCCCGGATCAGGAAACCAACAACACGGATCTCTTCCATGAGGCGTTTCCAGGCAAGCTACGGCCTTACACTAGTGATGTGGGGGGCCTTTGGTGGTGTTCGGGCATTCTGTGGCAACATGTATGTGGAAAGCCCACATTGACCAGTTTCTCTTCTGTTCAAGAAGATCTTTTAAAGACCATGAACCAAAGACCTAGCCTCATGAAGAACAATGTTGCTTGCTTTGTTGTTTCTAGTTAGAAGAGACTGACTTTCTCCACCATTCTTAGAGCTTCCAAGACCCAGACCGCGGCAGTAGACTGGCCCGCGAACACCGGCTTGGGAGCATCCCTCTCAAATCCAATCAACCAGGTGGTCAGTTTTGGTCGGAAGCTTGTCTACCCCGGGGGTGAAAAGACCAAGTTCTTCTGTTTCCACCAATGTCAGAGAGAACGAAGCGGACGCATTGGCCCCGTCGCCGTCCTGGCCAAGGATGATCTTCGGCTTGTCCTTGCCACCTGTCGCGTCACACGTGACGCAGCGGAGACCGATCGGAGACCCGGAGACCGATCGGAGACCCGGAGACCGAAAACCATTTGGTTTGAAGTCGAAGACGGTCAGAATGAAAACGCCTAATGCTGGAAACACAGGGCTCCCACAAGTGGGACTGATCTTCGATCGACGTTTCTTTTTCTGTGAACACACACACACACCGAACTTCTCAAGGAACTATGGGATTGGGTGAAGCCCATTGTGAACAGTCGAATGGGCCAACAATGCCCATGGTTCCTGTGGTCCTGCTCAAATGTCATAGGGGTTCTGCAAACAAAAACTGCTGGTCCAGTCTCAGATACGATCTGAAGGGATGAAGCAGCCTGAGTTGGGGGGGGACAATTCTCCTTCACTTGGACCTATTTTGGAAGGCTCTTCTTTTCTGGAACCCACCCAAGAGTTTACCTACAAAGTTAAGTAAATCTGCGTCATGTCCAAACATGTGGGCGGCGTCACGAAGATTCGTTCTTTCAGCAGCTTTTGAGCAGCGTCAAACCCAAACACAAGGACTCCGGGAAGAAAAGAACTGAGGATCAAATGGAAGATCTGAGGATCAGAAGTAAAAGCTTCGTACGCGAAGCTTAACGTGGAATTGAACAACTGAACATTCCCGGTTTTCCCAGTTCTGCCAGACGAATCAAAAACCTGACTGTCCCAGTTCTGCCACCATTCCCAGTACATCCCAGTACTGTACCGTCCAAGAGGCCCATGATGCCAGGAAGTGGAGGCTCTTTGGGTCCGCACATACCCGACGCTGAGGCGCCTGGTGAACCCGTGGTGACTCTACTAGAGATCATCGATGCAGACCAAGTTATGACATACTGGAGAATGATCAAAGACACACAGAAAAACACCCGCATTCTGCAAAACAAGTACATGTCTTGAAGGGGGCCTCCAGCTGTGCTGTTTTGGAGAGAAAACTTCCAAAGGTTCACCCAATAGGGTTACACTCCCATTGTAAAATAGGGTTCCACTTCATCATGTTTCATCTATGCTACTTGCTACGGCCCAGACTTCAACTGGAACAAAATGAGTGGAACTGGCCAAGGGGTGGGTATGCCAATGGTTCTCCATGCGACTGTGTGCCCCATTTTCATCAGTATCCTGCCTACTCTTTTTTGCAACACAAATCACATGCACATGTGTTGCTAGTCCAAAAATATCACCCTGGAGCATTTACATACACGTGGAAAACGTGGATCCTCCTTGCTCCATCCATCTCATGACTGGTGCTTAGCAGGGAATGAGGGAATGACTCCTCAGAAAAGATACCTTAGGATCCATCAAGTTGCACCAGTTACACATTTGCTGGACAGACACATCAGGGCTCCATATGGCATTACCTTGCTAAAAGACCTCGTGTTTCACCGAACTCGTGGTGCCCGACCAACATGATCTGTGTGATTTGATGATCAGGAGGCTAACTAAAAACCATGATTGAAACATCCTGAAACCCACTGGTTCTTGGTCCCACTTCTTGAGACAAGTCCGGTGTGTTTGGAGTTGTGAGGTTTGCAAGGTTGATCATGTGTATCAGATTTGTTTACCAAACAAAACTAAATCTTCTTTGAATGATGGGCGATGATGGACGTATCTGACGGGAAACAACTCTTCTAGTGAAAGGGGGGAACTGGTCTGAAACATAATTTATCCTTCGGCCAAAAGTGTCAGACCGAAGCCCAGCGCCCGCCAAAACCAGCGCGAATCTGATGCCCGCTCGGCCCGCTGAACCTCCCAATGCACCAAGAACAGCAAGACGGAACATGTTGATTCGATGCAGCGATGCTTCGATTGATGACAAAGCCGGCTATGCCTCTTGCGCTGACAGCCAATGACTGCAGAGGTCATGCGAGAGTGCTGGCACAGGTCGAGGTCCGACCGGCGGACCGAAAGCACCGCACCGCACGGGTCGCAACAGATATCGTTTTGGTACGATCGAAGCGAAAGATCGGTGACAGTGACGAGGCTGGCACCGAAGGTCCTAAAAAAGAAGTTACCCAAACACTCCATGTATGCCATATCTGCCTACATTGGGGTGGTTTGGGGGGGTCAATGTAGGCATAAATGGCATACATGGGAGTGTCTAGGTCAGAATTCATTTAAGAAAGACATAAAACGACTTGATCTCCTTGGAGATTTGTCTTTGATGCCTTGTTGGCATCTGATAACCTTTCGAGGGAATACTCTTTTTCAAGAGGCCGTCTGAGATCGTTCGTTCCATCCTGGGACTTTCGTTCGTGTTGCATACAGCTTTGAATTTACTCCAGCTCGTCTGGCACCTCAAAAGGCGGACTCCATCCTCACTCCCCCCCGTTCATCCTCCACCACCTGAGAGTATATGTGGATCCCCCGTTCATAAGACCAGTGCATTCCATGAAAAGACCAGTCATGTCAGTGGAGTCCTCATCGTTCGATCACTGTCACAGCCTTTTTCCATCAAAGCATTTTGTGTTTGCAACAAGGCAAATTGGAGATATTTGCAATTCTCCTGTAGCAGGAGGCAGTGCTTCTGTGGCAAGGGAGAGTGAATCCTCAGGGTGCCATATGATCACTCAGATTGGAGACTCTTGCAGGACACACAAGTGGCTAATAGAAACCGTTTAACGTCCAACGGGTCATTAATGGATACCCTAAAGAGGTCTTCAAGTAAGTGTATACAACTGAATACAACCATTCTGACCACCTCAGCTTCTGACCACCTCACCCAGGAACAGTACTCACATTGACATGAACAGTTTGGCTACTGGCTATCGGCTATGGCTGTAAATTGGTGAACCCTGGTGGATCGTAGGAGGTTGGGACCTTCGTTTCGTTTTGAAGAGCCAACCATTGCGGTTGGGGCACGTCAAATCAAAAATCTTCATCGAACAAGGCAAACCAACGAAACCAAGAACCCCCATCATAAACTTTTCACATGCATGTTGCCGGCAACATGCATTCAAACTGCATGGTGTCATTCGTCAAAAGTATGTTGGTGGATACAGTACAAACGCTAATGAAAATCTCTGGGTTGGATCACCTGGTTAAAAGAACAAAAGGCCCAAGGGGACGGCAGTTGGATCACCTGTCCTTGTTAGTTCAGTGACTCTGAAAAGCTGAGACTGGCAGCCAGGCGGGACCATGTTCTACTGGTAAACAGGACCCGCCAAGAACATGTTTACCAGTCCTTGTCCCCGGCCATACAGATCAAAAAAGAAACACGCACCAATTCCCCCAGTTCCTTCCCCAAACTTGGGGGCTGCATGCATCAATGTGCATAACCCTCCACACTACCACGTCACCGTAGAGCAGTATTTCAGCAAATGTCCGACCGACCTCTGCCAAACAATTACTTAGTTTTTGTTAGGCCTACCAGTAGTTTTCATTCTTCAGCCACTCTTACAGCTGCTAGGACTTTCTGGGATAGACCCAACCGTTGGCATCCAGAACTTTTGAGGATTCGCGTTGGCTCACTGTCATCTAGATCAGTGAAGGGTGCCAAGGGCGCAATCGACCGATTGTGCAGCCTGTCATTGAGGAAACTGCGCAATCGGCTCCTGAAGTGCTCCAAGTTATTTTTTCCAATCAGCAACGATCCCTCGTCGAAGTGAGAAATACCCCTGCCAATCGTCGATGAGGACGGTTTTATCGTTTTCTTTTGGAGAGGGTCCACAACAGGGACAAGTTGGAAGGCTCCAAGAAGGTCGGGTGTCTTGGTGTCCAGCGGATAAGTTTTTCTTCTCATGTAAGGGTAAGCCTGGTAGGCATCTGAAGATATCCGCCGACACCTGCTCAAACGCAATGGGGAATATAGACAGTGACGGTTCTTCTTTTCAGCGGTTCTGAGAGGCAATTGGGCTGGGTCCGGCTAAGTCAGGGGTGACAGGTTCCAGGCATGGGATGGGTCGGACTGGGGGTGTTAATTCTGGATTCAAAAGTGCGGTTTGGCACTGGTATAGGGGTGCATCTTAGACGCATTTGGAAGCAAACTAGCATAGAATACCCAACGAACGGCTGTGGCGGGTGTGGCTGAGGGCTGTGGAGGCTGTGGTATTGGGCGCGCGCGCGCGCGCACGCGGAAGGCAACAAGACCAATGACCAACAGCAACAACAACAACAACAGGGACAGCAACAACACCAACAAAAACACCACCACCACCGCCACCACCACCAGCAACAACAACAACCAACAACCAACAACCAACAACCAACAACCAACCACCACCACCACAACAACAATAGGGACAACAGGGACAGCAACAACAACCCTTATGTCGGACTGGCATCGCGGGTTTGCGAAGCTCTAAGGCATAAGGCAAACCCTGAAGGGTCCACGGCAACGATTTGCTGTTCCCAACATGTTCTCTACGATAGGACGGTCCAACGGGAGCCATGTGTTCTTTGAGGCCAACCAAAGAAAACTGCATTGGGGTCCCGACTCGTTCGATCCCAAAGAAAGATGGGCACACCGGGCACACAGTGCCTTGGATTTGCTCAACTCAAGGAAACGGGAAATGACAAAACACAAATATGTCCGAGGCGGGATTCACCCATAATTACACAGGGAAAACAAACTTCATTTTAAAAAGGAAAATCTACGGTGATCGCTAGGCAGAGTATTGGGCGTTCTTCATCGTTCTTCAATGGCCCAGCACTTCAGAAGTCTGTGGTGCGATGTACGAACGAGGCCGACCGCAGACCTTAAAACGCGATCGTGTGCAGTCTCGTCCAGGTTTCAGAGCTCATAGCACTCAGACGGTGGGGCAGGGGCAATATCCTTGGCACTCCGGGCGACTCCAAGAATCACACGACAAGAGGTGTGCAGGTCAGTCGGAACTGGAGTTGATGACCAAGATGAGCCCTTGTTTTCAGTACACCACAGGTAAAAGACCCCCAAGAAACTGATCTTTAGTCATTAAGGGGGGCAACCAAAACCACCTCGTGATCTCATCTCGTTTCAGTACCACCCGGTCTTTGCCGGGTAACCCTGAGCACATGTAGTGGTCAGCTGATCCGTGGGCATCTCGTAGACCAAGGTTGTATTGTCGCCGGCAGGGAAGTGGGAGTTCTGGAAGCAACTGGAGACCACGTCCTTGGTTCTTGCTCCCATCACCAGTCCGTCAGGTCCGCAGCTGTCTTGACTGCCAAGAGCGGACAAGACAGAAGATACGGGTTCATATTATGTTAATTTGTGAGTCGCTTGCCGCAATGCATCCACAAATGCAACTGTCCCCTTTGTCATACGTGTCGTCCAAGTTTTGGAAAAAGAAACGTCCTTCATTATGCCATTCTATGCACGCGTCAAGAGAGGGGCGGAAGGGTGGTGCCATGAAGGCGTTCTGTTACTATATGGTGTGCTGGTCATGGCTGCTTACATGTTTTCTTTGTTAAAGCTGAATTCTATGAGGTACAGGGAAGGAAAAGGCAGTTGCATCAGGACTACTGTCAGGGCTGCGCGAAGAGAAGGCTGAAAAGCGCTGGAAGAGAAGGCTGTTATGCGGAGTGCAGTCAGGAGCTGTGAGGAACACGTTGTGTCCCCCCAAGCCATGGTAGGTTGACGTCCCGAGCCTAGAGTAATCTGTTCATTTTCGATGGTCAACCAGGGTGCCCGGGCTGTGAGGGCTGGAGGGCGACTGCTAGGGCTGGAGGTCTGTGGAGCTTGGAGCATGGAACTGATGGAACTGCAGGGCTGCAAAGCACCAGGTTCCAAGGATTGGAGAGCACAAATTGATCGCAGACCTCCATCTCTTGAATTCTGTACCAGCATCCTCAGTGCCAGGTCTCCTTGTACCAGGCTTGGCATTGGTGACTGGATGCAGGTATCGGGTTCTTATATCCTCATTGAGTCGGAGCCCGATGCTTCGCTCGTCTGCAAACGGGCGCCGGCGCCCCCGGCCGCGGCCACGGAGCGCATGGAGGTGAAAGGTCGATGCCGAACGATGCACGGTTGTCCCTCAACGGAAGCCACGATGCGTAAACCGTGCGCGATGCAAACCTGTTAAACATACAGGTTTAATGAAAAGGAACGATAAAACATGTTAGTTCTGTTTTGTAGGTGTTTGTTATGTGACAATGTGTTCCTTTTCCTCTTTTTTTTTCACCGACCTGAAAGCCTGGTGCACATCAGCGCGCCGGCGGTGGTTCATTTAACTCATTTGACCGTTGATTTTCTTGCGCAGCAAGCAGAAACCAAAGAGTCCGGCTGATTTCTGTACTGTACCTGCCACCACTTTCTGGCAAATTCCATGTCAGTCCAAACTAAACTCCCGGTGTTGTTTTCAGACGTCAAAATGCCATGTAAGAAAGTCACTGCCCCACTTCTTTCAAGTTCCCACTTCACACGTCTAAGGAAGAGGCATGCTTCACGCAAATGTCGTAATAGGACTTGGTCTCCTTGAACTTTGCAAGGCACGGATTCAGGATGGAGGCCAGCCTTGGCGTCGTCCAAAAAAACGAACTTTCACCAACGAACCAAGCGTTTGGGGTCAGGCGCGAAGCGTTTGGGTGTTCCGTGTTTCTGCACCGTCGAGCGGTACGTCGTGCCACGGCGCGGAGCGCGAGTCGGGGGCCGAGTCGGGAGGTGGAGCGATGTGGGTGCCTAGAACGGCATGGGACAAGGGTTTCGACTAGGCACCCACAGGTGCCCAAACGTCTGGGAACTCGATGTTCTTTCTCTTCCTTCTGCTTCTGGTTTTTCTATTCTTGTTCATCTTCTTCCAGAACGGGCATAAGGAACAGACTCACCCCATCCGATCAACCCGGCGTCTGGTCGAGAAAAGGAACGTTTTTTTGGTTGGAACCTTCTAGGTATTGGACCCCAAACCAAAAACAACCACTTCAAGTGGATGCGCTGGAGTTTGGGGAAACCTTGCGGGATGTTTGTGTTTTGACAGGGGTTGGGAAGCATGTTGAATCTCTGAGGGACATGAAGGACATGCAGACATGCACCACCGAAATCGGACATGAAGGACATGCAACATCCAGCAACCAACTAATTCACCAAACAGGAAAAGTTTCCAACCCAAAAATACACCATTAATAGATTGTAGATCATGATCCATTTCTTCAAGTATGTGCTTGAGCCGCTCATCATATTATATTACTATAATTCTCTAATTACTTTGAAAGACTTTGCATAGATTCGACAGGGAGAAATCCGAGAGAGATCAACCCCAACCCAAGGGTGAAACGCAATTTGCTGCAGCGATCTCCATACAGAAACACCAATGCCGTGCCGTGTTTCACTACCATAACCCTCCAGCCACTGCTGACGACCCATGGTTCGAGATTCCTTTAACTTTGGCTTCTCAGGGAGTCCTTCCTTTGTTCCGCACATTCCGGTGATCCCAGGAGCCCTGAGCCACTCCCCGAGCCTTTTACCTTAATAGCAATGGCCTCTCCAAGTCACCCCGAGCCCTTCTTGGACATTGCCAATGTGGTGCCTCCCTTTGCATGCCCAAAGAGACCTGCGAAAACGGCCCGGCCCGCGAGGGCTGTAGAAAGCGCTCCGTCCCCGGTCAGCTATGTGGGCCATGGCAAAAGCACAAATGGTAAAAAACATACGAAAACTATAGTTAAACAGTTATTAGTTGAACAAACATTAGCTTGACATAGAGCACAAAACAATGCTTTGTTGGTTTCTGGAGATGAACTCTGGACGCCTCAAATGTCCAACATGTAAACCAGTCAAAAACATGTAAAAAAAGAAACATCTAAGGTCCAGCAGCATCGTCCATCACTTCCCACTCCAACATCCGGGTGTCACCTGTCTGGATGTAGGCGAAGGTGGTGCCGAAGCCGGCCCACATGGTGCAATCCCAATTGGGTGTCATGCCGTCGGTGCACTGGTAGTTCTTGGCCTCCAAGTGGACTGAGTTTGACTCACAAAATTGGGCCACGACACATCCCAGGAGAACTGATGATAGTACATGATAGTACTGTCAAATAGACTGTCAATGCATGAATTGAACTTGTCTGGCAACAGGAACACTGGATAAAACCTTTGTGTGGTTGAATCATTGTTGGACATCATTTGCCTTTCACTGGCCACTCCGACACATCGTCCTCTGCATCACGATGCTTGGACGCACGCCGTTGCCTGATCGGCATAGACCCACATCGCATCTGCATCACCGTTCATCAGTGTCGTCAGTGCGTCTTGGTTGGCGTTCCCTGTGCTCACGGTGGGAGCAACAATGGTGAAGCCAGTGAAGCGGCTCTTGCTGCACTTGTTCTCCACCTGGGTGAGGATCGGACCGGCGCAAGAAAACGACCTTTTCGACACAAAAAGAAAAAGTTTTTGGGACCTGAAGGTCCCAAGTTCCCAGAGGATGCCTGTGGTGCATAAGATTTATGATGTTACGGGACCCCCAGCTTCCTTTCCTTTCCAACGGACAACCCTACACATATATAGCTGGTTGGTGGTTTCAACCCTGACTATAAAAACGACAAATGTACAAACACCTCTGCAAATGAGGGTGGGATCTCCGTCAGTCAGTCCCCATCTCGTCCAGGTGGCCAAGGCCAGCGTGTCGGCCGTGGGGGCCCAGCCGATCACATCCACGACCTTCTTCCCATTCAAATCCGACGCGCCGGTGATCCTTGCTGCGACCGGGTGATACTCCGCGTCTCCGACCGGGTGTGATACAGCTGCTTCAAACGACCGGTCCGCAGCGGTGCGACCGGGTTTGGGGGGGCAAGAGAGGTGCAAACGACCTTGTGAAGATGGGTGAAGGAATTTCAGTGGGAGGCCGCTGGGAAGCCCCTCGAAAAAAAGGCCAAATCCAAGGCGTGTGGGATGGCTTGGGTATTCTTTTGTGTTCCTCTTGGTTGGGGAAGGTCTGAGATACCCCAGTACCTCAGTACATCAAGGCTGGACAGTTTTGTGCGCGTTGGATGGGAGAGTCCGCAAGTGGTCTTTGCATGTATTTGGAGGATCTACTGTAAACGAAAAAGTTCACCCCACTGATGACTCTTGATCATATTTCAACACCGCAATATGGAGCGGTTGTATTATCCATGTCTGGGGAAGCTTTACTATGCCAGAGTCTACATAAATTAGTAACCATTAGTGAACCATGACAGGGCATGCCAACAGGGTGCATTCCTACCTTTGCTTCAGTGGATCCATTCTGCCAAACATCTCCATGGACACTCCACGCTTCGGCACTCGTCCCCCCCGTGGTTTTGCACAGCTTTGAAAAAATACCGCGGGCCTACCTTCGGAGGTTCGATGGCACGAGGGGCACCCAAGCAAGGTAGTTTAGACACCTCTTGAAGCGCCATACCTTACCCTTACCTCCGAAATGGCCCTCGGTATCGAGCCGGCCATTGGCTGAGAGCCCGGCATCAGCGACCAACAAATCGTTGATTCTTGTGTATAGTAAACTTTCGAAAGATTGAATATGCTTTCATTCACAAATATTATCGCGGTAATAATTGTTTTATCCTTTTGTCACTCATGTTCTATCTTTCCACAACGAAGCATCCCAACTTGAGTCGTGCTGGAGACACTCCTTTTGTTCTGGATCTTCAACCGATTAAATCATGAAATTACATCACATCACATCACATCTCTTGTTTTAGTTGTAGCTCATAAACACTTGCAATATCTTGCAATCGTAGTTGCATCGAAACTATATGTGCCAAAACTTAGTCACGTACATTGCATGCTTGTTTCAACACCCAGCCCTAATATAATCTATTCTATTAATTGTATTATTCCAATACATTATAAATACATTATATTACTATATTATTCCTCGGCAGAATTACGGTGAATATTGGGCATGCCATAGTGATCATGGTGATCAATGGCTGGTCACCAACCTCTGCTAGAGAAATGCCACACTCATTCTATGAAATGTTCGGTTTTCCTTGCAGTGCTGAGAACCTGTTCTCTATAAAATGGTTCAGCTCAACCTTTTGAGCAACAATATGTTCATACTATGTTCATATGTTCCTCAATATATGATGGACATATACATCCAAGGTTGAGGTTGATTCTATAGAGAAGCGGGGACAATATGAAGGTTGAAATTGTTTTTGGAACATGATTGGACAAAAGTTGCACAAGATATCAACCTACCTGACCTCACAGCCCACCATGCACTCTGAAATGAATTCTCAGCCTTCTACTACTCCAAATGCTGTCTATACAATCAAAACTACAACCTCCGTAGAATCAGGTGCATGTTCATGCCTTCTCTATAAGATGGAATAGTTCAACCTATTGGGCATCATGAAAAATCAACCTGTTATAGCACAGGTTTTTAGGCTAGCTTTGTTCAGGTAGGTTGATGTCTCATACTAGAGAAAATATTATGTTGATTCTTGATAAAAATCTGATGGTCTTTTTGAGCTTGACCTCTCAGATTTTATAGGGTTTATTTGGCAGGAGATTTACTATATAATTCAATCAGTAGCATCATAAACACTCCCAAACGAAGGCTGCTCCTCACTCCGTTTGTCGAAGCGTCGTAGGCTGTCCATTCTCCAGGCGAACCAGCAAACCTGGAGACGCGCGGTGACTTGTTTCTCAAGCAGGATCGATTCAATTGATTGTCATGCTCTGAGGCTCTAACAATCTCCTGAGGTGTGGATGTGGAGTGCTAATCAAACAGACTTGAGACACTTGAATCTAATTGCCCCAGAACATGTGGACTGCCACCCACAGGGAATCTGGAGCTGCAGGACCTGACCATCCAAACTGGTAGCTGCCTGGCAGCAGCAGCAGCAACACATGCGGATCTCCCATGTGTGTTACTTCGGGACTCTGTCGCGACGACCACGGAGAAAAACATCCGAGAATGTAGAATCTTGATGATATTTCAACCATCTGAAGAGGTTCAGTTCTACAATCCATAGAGGATCAAGCTTCTACATTTAGGTCGTGCCCCGAGTTCGGCCACCGAAATTTCATGCCTTTGCTGCAACAAAGGCCATCCACTGTGCTGAAAGACCGACGCCCTACGCGAAGCGCGTGGCGTCGCTTCGCGGCCTGCGGGCTTGTTGTTGGACAAAATGCCATCGGAGAACTCCATCCAGCGTGTACGGGCACCATGCGTGTGAGTGTAGGTCATGCAACCTCGGGTGTAGCGAAGGGCCCACGTGGTTTCTCCGAGGTTGCCAAGGGTGTGAGGTTTGAGGTTGGTGTGGAGATGGTGTAGAGAAGGTGCCATCTCGTATGCATCGCATGGATGGTGTATATATGACTGATTTGGTCACCAAATGGATGATATATTCGCTCACGTTTGAGGTGGAGAGCCATGAAGCCCACGTCATAAGAAGCCTCCAACCTAATAGCGATGGCCTCCAACCTAGTTGCGATGGCCTCCAAGTAGCGATGGCCTCCAACCTGGAAGCGACATGGGATCTGGCTACATGATCAAGGTGAGCAAGAATCTGCCTGGGTGACTGGTTAGAGAACTCACGAACCTGAAGAATTCACAGTCCTATGAGAGAAGCTCCTTTCCATTTGGTTGAATAAGTCAAGTGGTTTCGACTCGGTTCGCTTCCCATTCGCAAGACCCTGAACATGAAACATACCACGACCATGCCGCAATAATTATTCCCAATCGAGGTTGGAATCACAGTTAAGAATGGGGATAACTTCATGACTGTTCTCATCCCATTTGCCATTCTTGCGATGCAGCCTGCAATGTAGTGCCATCTGACCTGGCCCTCCAACTCCACCCGTTTCAACCCTTCCAAACACCACCGGTCTGCTCACTCACCCGTACCCGTTCCGCCCCCTTCGGTCTGCTCCGCCGCTCTCCAAGGTACCGTGGACCTCTCCAGCGGCCAAGCCGGCGCCAATGGCGCCGTTGTCCCAGCAATCGGCCCAGCGGATCTCCTCGGTCGGGAGATCGGAGGAGATCCGAGGTGTCCGGTGTCGGAAGCTGGGGAGAGATGAGAATGGATGGGGAGAAGGGACGGGAATGGAGCACATGATGCAACTCAGGGGGGTGAAACATTGCGAGGTCACAGAGAGAAAACAGCTGTTGGAAACACCTCCACGAAGGTGCAGGCTGAGGAGGTGGCTGTTCTTTCTCCATGGGATAGGAGTACAATGGAGTACAGGTCTCTCCCTTCCAAAATGCACCCAGACTAGATGCAATAGACCAGGAGATCCAGCTGGTACCGGTGGTCCAATGGGCTTCATTTGATTCCATATGTCTTCTTGATGTCTTCTTGCCAATGTGTTGGACAGATAGTAAGCTATTTGAGCTATAGATTAGAAGGGACCGCCTTTGACGATTCAATACCCCGACCACTGAGCCCAAACACTTGCAGGTGAGACATTGCCAAAACGTACCATCCCCTGTCCCCTGCATCTTATTAAGTTCTTCTTGTTGTTGTTGCTGCTGCTGCTGCTGGTGTTGTTGTTGTTGTTGTGGTTGTCCTCGTTGTTCTTCCAAAAATAAATTCCCACCCCGTCCATCGGCCCACACTGCGCGATCTTAGGGGCCCCGGTGGTGATGTCAATGTCGCAAACCTCCTTCAAACCTTGGATTCAGCGATCTCAAAGGGCTTGCAGGTGAGAGTCAACATCTACACGCGGGAAGACACTCACATGGAACCTGAACATGGACAAATTGGAAGACTAGTTTCCTCTACAGCCCAGTGGTTTTCAGGTTCCATGTAAATCTTCCAGGGCGTAACATGCTAACTCACCACGACCTGCATTGACATGACAAGACCTTGCAAACGCGATGAGTTGCAGCAGATCGAAATTGAACGTCCTCTTTAAGATTCTGTAACTGCAAGTTGCTATCGTTGCGAGGAGTGTCTTCCCGTGTCTTCCCGTATTGACAGTCTCAAAGATCGTTGAAAACACCTCCAAATCATCTGGGAAGCCGTGGGCAATGTCGTGGCCAATGCCTGCCACGTCGAAGTCACTCTCAGGAGGGACGCCCAGGTAGGCCTCGGGATTGATCGACGCCGCCCGGCCGGGCCTCGCCCTAGACTCGGGCGACGTCTGGAGCTGCGAAGAGGGCCGATTTTGAGCGTTGAAGTCAGTCGAACAACCATGGGGATGGAAGAGCAAACACCGAACGAAGAACGACATCATTTTCTCGTCGAACTGTTCGGTTTTCGAACCGTTTTATGCTCGAATGAAGCTTGGGACGCCTTTCACCCTGACAGCCAAGACACATAGGGTGGCCAATCAATGTCCTCTGGTCCGAACAGTGATTGCGCGGGAAACGGACATGAACATCTGGCCGAACAGTGGTTCCGAGGTTCTTCTCTCCAACGAGTTGTCCATGTGGAGGGCCGGCATGATCTTCTTGGATTTGTTTGAGGAACCGCAAAACATTAAACCTATTTTTTCAAGGAATCGAATTCACCAATTGCCAATAGGCATGTAATACAAAGATCATCAAAGATCCAATTGTCCACCCTGTTGTTTTGGTTCAACATCGCACCTGGCGGGATAGGTGTTCATGTCCCTCCCAATAGAAACAATACTGTTCCCTCTCTCTCTCACACACACACCAAGTACACCGCCCTTCCATGCAATTCCTTGTTTTGTTTCAAATAATTGTTTTTGCTTGAATGCATTTACAACTATTGAACTCGCTTCCTGTGATTTCCTGCCATTCCATGAGCGTTCCAAACGTCGCGTTGTCACCTCCAGCGAACTGGCGAAAAACCGCGGTACTCCCGCGCACCGCGCGCGGTCTGCTGTCCTGGCCCAGGATGATGTGGGGTTTGTCCTTTCCACCTGAAAATGCGGTTCGCGAAGACACGCACACACGGACGTGCAATGGATCCACATACCCTCCTATCGAGGGTGATTGGAGACGCTTTCATGAGGCTTGGAGGTCCAATCGCACCTTCTGAGAAAGTATGTGGATCCCTATAGGGAAGTTACACAAGTAGTTCACTTGGTGCATGGAAAACCCACCAAATTGTCGACCGACCGGCGCGCGAACGAACCCCGTCCATCTAATGGATGACTTCGTAGGAGGCTTGAACATGTTGATGTACAATGTACCGCCGGTCCTCCTCAATTGGTATAAACAAGGATGGCGGATGAGGTCCGGCGGTGCTCACTGCAACCCAGCACTCGCGGTTGAGGTCCGTTGGTGTCTATTGGGATCATGGTGCTTGCGGTTGAGGTCCGGCGCCCACTGGGATCTAGTAGCTAAAAGTTGGGTCAGACTTGGTATAATACCTCACCCTTGCTCCAATGATCTCGTCCTCACCCTTCCGCTTCGGGACCTGGACGTCTTCAAACAAAAAACCGCCTCGCTGGTGCCACCGGTGTCCACCGGCCTCAATCGGCGGCTGCGGCCAAGCGACCCATGACACCGGGCAGTGGCGGTTCTTTGGGTCCGCAGGATGAAGCAAGCACACCTGAGTTGGGGATGGAAAGGGAGGAAGGATTGGAGCTGGGGCATGGGATCTGGGGATGGGAAGTCTGGTGTGCACCGATGCAACGGAGTGTTCAAGGTTCAGTCTGGTGAGTTTAAGATTCATGTTGAAACCCGTGACAGTCACTTCAAATCACTGAGAGAAGATGTCTGGATCAATTGTGTGCTGACATCTGCAGAAAAGAGGTGTTGGCCCGCAGTCCAATCTACCAACCGTTCATGTTGATCTTCACAAAGTGTAAAAGGTGTTTTCTGATTTACAGTTATTGAACTCCGCCGTGGTGTTGATATGTCTTCAACATGCTGCTTCATCAAATCGTCCCAACGCATGTCATCCCGCATGTCTTCCTCGTGCCAAGAAACCTGGTGCCAAAAGGGTCACTGCCGCACTGATGGTTTGCACTGCACGCATGGTGTTCTGGCAAAGGGAAAGCGTGTTCTGCTGTGGTGCTTGAGCTGACAAATCGCTCCGGAGGAACACGGGTACGAATGGGTTGGCCAAAAAGCCAGATTGCAACGAATGGTGCAAAACATGGCTGAGCCCGAACCGGACAGGATCACGTGCTTTGTGGTACTTTGACCCACCAAACATCCAAAGATGTTGCTAATCTATCCTTCGATCGGGTATTTCACGTGTTACCTTCACTCCAATATCTACCACCGACAAATTATTACTGTACTGTTGAAAATATATGTTTGTGTGCGCACACGCACCCCACCCGTACACCAAGGAATTGCACATACAATATGTCCTTTCTACCAAAGCTGGTCATGTGAACAGCCCCACCCTTTGTGCAAAGAGATTCGACTACTTGGTGGTCATTGCGTATCACAGTTGTGGCATCCTGGCATGCCTACCCCTATTACCCTTGCACAACCAGGCTTTTCATGCCATGCAAAAAGAATGGATACACTCCCTCGAATTATCATGGAAGTGGAACATGGACCCTTGGATGATCATGTTCCTTTGAAAGTAGGTGGTTTTCCACTTGCCTCATGATACAAGGGAGTGTAGAGCATGTGTATGCGGTGGAAGAAACCGATTCCTGCAAGCCCGGAGAACAGCTTCTTTCCTCTCCTGTAACAGGAGGCATCCTTGTGGGCATCCGATCGCTGCAGTCGATGGTAAATAGATGCATCAGAAACTGCAACCAAATCAGCCGGCACCATCATTGACATGTCCATTCGCATCCCTGAAGGGATTGTCTCACAAGAAGGACAACCCGATTAAAGAAAACTCAACACAACAACGTTAAGTAGGTTCACTTTGAGATGTGTTGAGAGATAATTATGATATTGGTTTATCCTGTATCCTTGTCATTGAAGCGGCAGTGAGGTGGGCTTTACATGGCTTTACGACACTCAGCCGTGTATGACTCGGAACTGAGGGCTGGTGTGTTTCAGCTTCAGCGCAGCAGGAACGTCCAGTCTGGGTCGGTGGACACCCCTAAAAAACTTCAGAGGATGTTCAGAGGATGTCGTATGCACAGATAAACGTCTAATTGCCGGGTTCACTGCATTTGTTCGATTTGCATCAACAGCTGTGCTGGCCAATCTCATGAGGAAAATGGCAGCCAGAGCTTTTTGTTGGGCGCGGCTCATCTTGGGCAGATTCCTCCGTTCAACAAACAGAGGCTTAGCCGGTTTCTGATGTGTTCTCGGTATCCCTGAGCCTCCAACTACCTTCTGAGGTGGTGTTTGAGGTGGGTCTGGAGGGTCTAAATACCTTCTGACGAGGTATGTGTTCCTCGTTGACCAGGGCAACGTGTCCATGAATGGACTATACGGATCTAGTGCCTCTCCCATGTCAAACGTCATTCTGCATTCTTGATATCTTGTCCGTCGATTGAGGAGTCTAAAACTGGTTGGCTGTACGGCTGAACGTTCCGGGCAATGGTTAAGTTATTATCCTGGAGCTGTGACATGTTCAGAGGCAGCAGAATGGTTTTCCCTCAAAGGTATTCAAAGTGGGGTAGATAAGGAAGAATGACGCGTCGGTAGCAAGATATGTCCTATCACATTTTGCACTGCTGATGAACATTGCCAGGAGGGTTGTTAGAAAATGGTGTAGAGGACATGACCCCGTCCCGTTGACAATAGGCCAAAAGACTCCGTAACCCCCAATGCACACCTCAACCAAGAGCCAAATAACCTTAAATCCTTTGAAGCTGTCTTGGCTGCCTTTGGTGTCAATTGTTGGGGGCCTCAGTGTTCAGAAGAAGCTTTGGGTCCCCTTGTATGGCACCTTGCAAGGCTTACTCTCATAGGCATCTTACTCCTTGAAAGAAGAGCGGTCTGCAACAATTGACTCACCAAAATGATGTTGATGTTGCCGAGATGTGTGCATCCTGAATGTCTGTGGGTGTTTTCTTGAGCCAGCCCAATTCGACGCGGAGAGGAGGGTGTCTGATGGACACAGCTGGGCACCGCAGAATCCGTATGGTTCAAGCTCATGAGCAACGAAGATGTCGGTCTTTTCAAAACGATGCACCAACTGATGCCGTACTTGATTTAATAAGAAGCTTGCGCCCAACAGCGGGCCAGTAGGGGGGGTCAGTGGTAGGCGGCAGGGGCATAAAGGTGAGAGTTGTTGTTGTTATTGTTGTTGATGTTGTTGTGGTGGCGGTGGTGATGTATTGTGGTATTTGTTGTAGTTGTATAGTTGTTGTAGTTGTTGCTGTTGTTGTTGTTGTCGTCTGCTTCTTCCCGTGCCGCCGACGGTTTTTTGGGCGACTCCGCTCAGAAGCTGCTTTAAGCTGATTCTGGAGGTTGATGTTCGAGCATTTTTTCGGCCATGTTTGATCATTTTGTGTGACGTTCAGGTTCAGGCAGCAAAGACATCGCAAATTCTGATGTTGTTGCAATTATTATGTAAGTGAACATGTCACTGCTAGCAACATGCTCAAGAACAGTTTAAATACAATATTTGGGGAATGTAAACACCACCTATACGACATTGTTTCTGTATTTAAAAAATCCAGTAAACCTCTGCTTGTCATATAGGTACGGGAGGTTGTGAGCAAAAACGTGTGAAACAAAGTCAATAACAAACATGCCGCACCTGTAGGCGCGCCTCTTGCCCACTGGACTGAAAAACATGTGCCATGATATGCTATGATGGTGAAAAGCCTCGCAATGCTTTGGAGTACAACCCTTGTTATGGTCCCAGGAAGCTCTACAATATCAGACAACAATGGATGTTCTCTTGCATGAACCAAATCACCTCCAAGTCCTAGTAACCCACGATGCCACGATCAGCCGTCCCACGATGCCACTTAACCTCCAAACCCGCCATCTGTGCAACGCCCCGATGCGCCGATGGGCCCGGCCCATCGTTCGCTCACCCTTCGGTGGTCGCTCACCCTTCGGTGCAGCACGACACAGCGCTGGCGGACGAGGCGATGGGCACCGTGTTGAGACAATCGGGTGCGAAGCCACTGAAGCGCTCTTTGCAGCATTTTCGATTGAAGAAGCACGATAGGACTGTACTTCTGACGCTTGAACGGGACATGATTTGAGGAGTTCAAACGTTGGTTTTCCGCTGGTGGCTTCGCCGCTGGACGGGATGCACCAGAGAATAAACCATTCGCCGATATGATCGCTTCTCACACCACAAAACAATGAAAAAAACATTAAGAGAAGCATCCACGATGGAATACTCATGAATCCTCTCATGTTTTGCCACCCCACACGTACATCTACCGACAATCAGCTGCAATGCCACAGTGGGTGGCTGAATAGGAAAATGCCGAACAGGATGTAGTGGCACAGTCATCGCTCTCAACGAGAACACACAGGTGTCACTTCTCATAGCGAAGCACGGTGAGGGACATCTCCTCTGAAGGAAGAACAAACACAAGATTCTCGGAGAGATTAAAAGGAACTCTTCAGATTGCCTGACGGTTCCATCATGTCTCAAAAACCTCTTAGTTGTCAGTCTTTTTTTGAGATGCTTTGAAGTCTTGATTAATGGTGGGAGATTCTTTCAACCACTTCGCAGGATCTTCCAAAGAGTTCTACCTGTAGCTGGAAATCCAAACGAGTTTGACCGACCAGGGCGGCCTTGGGGCCATTGATGTACACTGTACTAGGAGCAAGGACGCTACTAGGGGCTCCTGGCATTGCTACCAGGAACAAGAAGCTACTAGGATCTCCTGGCATCGCTACTAGGAGCAAGGACGCTACTAGTAACTATCGCATACACATATGGGTGTTGATCTAAATTCCTTTATCTGGGGTCCGTCATTTTAGCCAATATAAAATGACTTTAGCCAAACTTTCGCCTTCCTGCGTTTTTTTCGCCGTGGTATGTTGCATTTATGTTTGCCATGTATGTTGTATGATGGATGTCAGTTTTTCATGTCAATGGCTTCTTCTTTACTGGCAGATACGAAAAAAAAACTTCACTGTTTGTCAGCATGTGTCTTCTACTTAACTGTTGACACCCTGTACGTCTCGTTTGTTTCTCCTGGGTGTCTGCAAGAATCAACAAGTTGCAAGAATCACTGTTGCAGCCGGTCGCTCAGACTTACTCATAATGGGCTGGGGGTCAGATGTGGCAGGGTGAACTTTCGCCAATCTTGAGCTGAACTTTCGCCAAACTTTCGCCTTTTGCGGGGTAGAGTTTTGTGGCAGAGCCACCCCCCCAAAGCAGGAGTAGCTGTAGCGGTAGAGGTAGCGGTAGTAGTAGTAGGAGGAGGAGCAGCAGCAGCAGTAGTAGCAGTAGTAGTAGTAGCAGCAGCAGTATGTAGTAGTAGCAGCAGCAGGAATGGTAGTAGTAGCAGCAGCAGTGGTGGTAGTAGTAGTAGTAGTAGTAGCAGCAACGGCAGCAGAAAGAACATCTGTAGCTATATATATTTCGCCAAAATAAAAAATACTTTCGCGAACTCGAGAAAAAAACTTTTGCCAAATGAGGTTTTGACATGTTCCAGGG